AAATAAAAAAAAATTCAGGGAATTGGGATGAGGAATATTCCAGCCTTGTCAGTTGTTGCATTATCTGCTTAAAAACTCTTTATGCCTTGCTTGTATTGATCCTTTAAATATGTGTGAACTGCCCTTGATCTTTCTGTGCTGATTTATCCCATCTTGGAGGTAGGGTATTTTAAAGATACACAAATACAATGGGAGATTGTCTGTGGGTCTCCATGATAGCAGTATCTTACTGACAGGAAAGACTGGTAGAAAAAAATACCTGTTCCTATGCATGCCATAGACAGATGTCAGATATGAGCCTACTTTTTATTACAAGGGAGAAGGAATACTTACTAGAGAATTAGGATCCTGTCAAGATTAACAGGAAAAAGAGTATTATGTTGTTTCCTTGTAGAGATAAAGGACATTTGTACTAAAATCCAAAACACAGCAGTTACAGGAAACATTAACCTTTTAAAATATGGGATAATGCATGTAGATTCAAAGATACAGGGCCATCATAGCAAACCAGAATTTGTTGGAAGGGACGCTACAAACAGCCGACAGAACGGGGAACTTTCCCAGGCGTAGTTTACATGGCCTCTGGTCAAAGCTTCTTATGTTGATGTTAATATGTTGAGTTTTGGTTTGCTATCCTGTTGTCTTGCTTGCGGTTACCACTCTCTTGCATCTCTTTAATCCTTGAATTCTTCACCTTTGACTTTTTTTTTTAGCTGTTCTTACATTGTGTGCCTCAAAAAACAGGTTTTCCTGCCTCTGCCTTTTCTTCTTTTGTGTTTGGAAATGGGGCAGACAACCTTGCAACATCCTTAACCTTAACTTCAGACATTTTCCATGTCTTCTGTGCTTTCTTCTCTTCTTTCACGCCCGTTTGTTGTTATTCTGAACACAATATCATAATGAGGGAAGGCATTTACAAATAATTACGGAGCAGGACTTAGGTAGGGCTCTGAGTCAGTGGTTCTGGCTTGCAGAATAAATGAGTTTGGACATGTGGATGCAAATGTTCCTGAGTCATTAAATTAAAGTTGCCATTTGCAAGGGCTAGAAACCTGTAGTACAAAAGGTCCCTTGGGTGCACAGTGGCTGGTATCTACATTCTCACTTTAAGCATTTTTGCTAAGGGGAAACTAAGGAATAGCCAGGGCAGGGGATTTTTCATAAATCTGTATTGGATAAGAATTGCTTTTGTCTGGAAGATATTGTTTTGGGTTCAGCGAGAGGTTTCCATCTGCAAGTTGCTTTCAGTTGTCAAGTATTTTTGTGTTGGGGGTAGTTAATGGAATTGATGCTCAAGCTCCCCACTTATATTATGAACAAAAGAAAATCTAACCTTTTATCACTTTCGTGTATGGTCTTTCTTTCTTTCCCAGGTAGTTTCTTGATTAGTTTGGTTTCAGAAGAAAACTCCTTGTGCCAGGATGTAGATAGGTCTGGTTTGGTATCTTGTAGTTTCATTACTTGATAATTTTCTCCCTGTCTTTGCAATCAAATGCTGCATGCACACCCTTTGGTAGCAGGAGCCTCTTTTGTGGTGAAACTTTTGTCAAAGACAACCAAGAGAAAACAGATCCCATGGAGTTCAGTTGGACTCTGCTAGCTTGACGTCTTGCTATATTTCCAGCAGTGAAGATACAGGCACAGTAATCTGTACTACAGTTTGGTTGGTTTGCCATTTGGCTAACAAAAATTTCCCAAATTCAAATTATGGAGCGAGGCAGTTACTAGGCAAAATACAGATTTGCTTTTGCCTACATAGGAAGGCATGGGAAACCTCATAATACACCCACTAGCTCAAGACTGAACTGAAAATTTGAGGTCACCAAGGTCGTTACCTTGGGAGAAGTCTATCTCAGTTCCCAAATGTTCTGGGAAGCTTTACCAAAATCTGAATGTATAAGGTTACCTGTCACTTTGATTACTCTTCACAGATTGCTGAATGGCACCTGCAACATTTCTCTTCCTGATTCTCTCTGTGTTTGGGTAAACTGAACAAAAGCACTAATACAGCCGGCAGATTCAAGAAGATAGTAGATCAGTTTGCATTTCAAAGGTTGCCTTAGAAGTATCAAAGGCGAGAAACTTATTTTAAAAATGAGGATATTTATCAACTACCTATCCTGTATCATTATCAACTACCTCCACCTCCTTATTTCCCAGAAAGTTCCCTGCCCACACCTGTCAAGTTTGCAAGTGGATTTATCAAGCCCAGGATGGGTGCTTTCTTGT